CTGCAGTCTGTTCTAATACAGGACTGTATGCAGTAGTACTGGTAACCGGTGGTTCCATTCGATTCTTTGATGCGGATTAAAGGCATTGGCGGCTTAAGTCTTGTATATGTGATACGAGTGTTACAGAGCACACTTTATGGAGTGAAGGGGCATATTAAGCTGGATATCAAATACCAAGTACCTACTTTAAAGTGTATTGCACATGGATTTCAACCCATCGAACATGCTGTGCAATTGACAAGCAGGGTTGCCTAAGAGTGACAGTCCATCGGGAGTGGTCCTGGAGCGAGGCTGCGCCTGGTGGAACAGATCCCGGGGTAGCTGGCAATACCCAGGGGACACACGTAGGGAATGGTCCCTATTTCCGTTGCCAGGTAAACCTAGATTCCCTTTTTTGTTTTTTGTTTTTCTTTCTGAGAAGTTCCAGATCTCCAGACTCTCTCACAGTTGTCTTGACTCCGAAGATTTCTGTTTAGAAAGGGCAAGTTTTGCTGTACATTTAATCACATAAAAAAGGACATACTTTTGATGAGCTTTGGTTTTCTGGCAATTTCAGAAATCCGATTTTCCTTCTGGCCAAAACGCTAACCTGAACTTTCCTTATATTTCCCCTCCCTCACCCACACACCCACCCCAGACTGCCTTAGCATATCACACCAGCATTCCTGACCCAGCTCTAGAGAAGTGACAGGACTGTTAGCGAGCTGCCACGCTGGGGCCTAACAGCATCTGCATTCAATCCCTGCTAGCTGGATGTCTGAGCTAGTTAGCTGCATGCTGCCAGTAGTTGGATCCAGGATCCCCCAAAGCATGTTCCAGAGGACACAAGTTCCAGAAATGTCCTTACAAATATAAGGTTCTAGAATCAAATGAGTTTGGGAAACACATGTTTGTACTAAGAAAGTGAATCAGAGGCTCTAAATGCCATGCCCTATGGGTGTTGCCCTCGTGGCACAGTGGATACCCCCTGGGCTGTCGGCACCACCAGCTGCTCCTCGGGAGAGCACTGCGGCTTTCTAGCCCCTCAAGAGTGACAGCCTTGAAAGCCTTCAGGGGCAGTTTTGCCCCGCCCTTTGGGGTCACCATGCATCAGAAATAGCTGAGTGATAGTGAGTTTATGGGAGTTGGGGGGTCATCATCTATGTAACTTCAGCTATGTCCGTGTTTTCCAGATTAATTCGACCACAGAAACCTTTTTTGAGTGATATCTAATAACATTCCAAGGAACTAGTCTTCCATAGAACCCACTTTGGGAAAATTCTAGTATATTACAATATTGCTATTTTTCTTCATTTTGAATCTTATATATGTATGAAATCACTTTAGCTCTTAGTAGTAGTAGTCCAGTTTGTAATTTAGAATGATTAATTCTTTCCCACCAGCGGCTGACTTGTTCACTAAACGCAGTGTTAAATAGCATGGTTGAACTTGACCAACAGCAGGCTCAGGTTGGTCAAAAATGAGAATTCAGGCAAAATAGCCGCAGCTCAACAGTCAAATTCAAGCTCCCCACCCCCCACCCCCTCCTCTTAACTGCCTGAACAGCAAGAAGATGGCCAGGGCTAGGCATCTCTCAAATTCATTCCAAGAGTTCTCTGTGGCTGCTCTTACAGTTATCTTTGCTTTCGGGATTGAGACAAAATATTTCTACATTTCATCACTATGTGTGATAAAAAAAAAGGAGTGGATGGGGGAAACATATTTGATTTTAAGTCATTTCTAAAATTTTAGCTAGGCTCTAAAAAGTCATTCTCCATCGTATAGATGAGCCTGTCAACACTTACTTCCTCTTTCCTCTGACCTCCGCAGATTCCGTGAACAAGTTGAAATCAGAGCGCATCTATTCTGAGCTTCCTT